GCCTAGGCTCCAGGCTTGTGTCCCCATGCACCCCACCTTCCCATCCCACCCTGTCTAGGGCTGGCTGGCAGGCCCTGAGGGCAAATGAAAACAATCACCCTAACAGCCCACCAAGGAGACATTTCAGGAGTCAGGCCCTGGCCAAGGTGGCCCATGTGGAGCTCACAGCCCCATTAAGTCAGTGTTCCCATTTTGCAGATGAGGAAACAGAGGCTTAATGAAGTGAGATAACTGGCCCAAAAAGATAGTGGGGTGGGGATTCGAACAGCCCTCATTGGGCACCAAAGCTGGCTTACATAGCAGTCATTTCAATGACACTGGCTGTCATTTCCTTGTTTTTCAGGCAGGGAAACTGAGGCCCAGCATGGCACATGGCACAGCATGGCAGCTGGGCTGAGGTCTTAGGGCTCAGAGAAAAGAGAGACCTGCCCAGAAATACACACTTTGTGTCCTTCCCCTCCATGGGCAGAAAATCCTTCAGACAAAAGACAGCCCCACATGAAAGGACACGCTTTAATGATGTTTCTGAAGTCAGATGGCCCTGGGTTCAAAACCCTGCCCTGCTTACGCTGAGCTGCGAGAGCTTGAACAAGTCCCCTCAACCCTCAGTCACCCTGTTTGTAAAGTGGGCACGATGGTGCCTCCTTCGCCAGGCTATTGTGAGATTCCCAGAGGTTCGAGCATTACATCGCTGAGCCCTGGGCCTGACACAGGAAGTGCCCCCCCATGAGTGCTCCCTGAGCCTGGGAGACAATCCCCAAACTGTCCCTTGTTCATTCTGCAAACAGAATGTGCCAACTGTGTGTCCATCATGGTGCTAGATATGGGTAGCACCTAGGGTCAGGCCCAAGGGAGCTCAGAGGAAGAAGCCTGGGCTGCCTGGAGGAGGTGGCATTTAGGTCCAGCTTTTGAAAGACTGGGTGACTAGGGGTAGGGTGGAAGGAAGAGATGAAGAGGACAAGCAGGGGTGTGGTAGGAGGCAGACTCTGGCCCTGCTTTGGAGGAGGGGGATCTTGAATGCCAGGATTTTATCCTGATAGGCCACAGGGAGCCATGGAGGGTCATGGAGAAGGTGCTGGCAGAGCTGGGCTTTGAGAAGGCAAATCTTGATGTGTGCTGGCAGGACCCACAGAAGGGATGGAGTCGGGGGTCTTTCTCTTTATACTTCTCCTGAGTCCCAGATGGAGAAATCGAGGCCCAGGGAGGGAAGAGAAGGCAGGAGGCCTGGTGCCTCTGGAGAGAGCAAAGCAGGAGTGTGTTGCCTCTGCAGGAGCTGACGGGCGGGAAGGGCGGGTGTGGCTCCTTGGGTAGCAAGTTGAGGAAGGTTTGGTGGCCTAGCCCTGCAGCTGCCAGGCTAGTTCCGGGTCACGAAGACCCAACCATGCTCAGCAAGCCTGGAAGGCCGGGAAGGGGTGGGAGTCACCTGAATGTGGCAAGTCTTCTGCCCTTTGCCATGGGTGCAGAGATGGGGAAGTGGGCACCACAAGGCAAAGGGTGGCCTCAATGGGGAACAACAGGGGTGGCTGTGAGGTTTTCCAGGCCCCGCCCGGACCAGGGACAGTTAATCCAGCCCCAGGGCTTGAACTCTCCCAGTACCAGGCCCCACCCTAGGCGTTCACCTTATCAGCACTGGATCCTCACAGCCACCCCTGGGGGCTGGTGCCATTAAACCATTTACAGAGGAAGAACCCAAGGCTCCCTGAAAAGTGAAAGACCCCTGGGGTAGAAAGTAGAGACCCTAGGGCTGCCTCATTCCAAGCTCACCTCCTTCCCTGCTGCTACCCCTGAGCTGACTGTGAGGACAGATGTCACCAGGGCTGTGAGTGTCATAGGATGATGGGGATTGTTGTCCAGGGTGGGTGTTGGGGCACCTGGGCTGTAACAGGGATCCCTTAGGAAGCTCTCCTCCAATCTCCCTCCCGCCACACTGCATAATCCATCCCCACACATGTCATAAACAAGGCCCGCTGGATTCCCCAGCAAGCAGGAGAGGCTGCAGATGGACATGCGGAAGAACTTGGGGGAAGCTTCCGGGGAGAGAAAATCTACAGGAGCTCCAGGAGAGCCTGGACCTGCCTACACAGTCCCTGTGGAAGAAGGAAGGGATTGGGGGCCCAGGGGTGGGAGAGGAGGTCACCCACACCACCCCTGGCCTGGGAGGGGTTGTGCTATGTAAGTCTTTCCCCTCCACTAGAAGCCCCTCGAGGGCAGACACTTGGATGCTTCTGCACTGCTGTGTCCCCAGCACAGAGCCCAGGACGACCCTTGAGATATATTTATTGAAACATGAAGTGCCCTGGAAGGTGAGGCAGGGGCGGGGCCCACGGAGGCATAGGGAAACCGAGGCATAGAGAGGTAGGTCTCGCTCCTGTTTCCAGCAGAAGAGGACAGTTCCCAGACTGGATCGCCTGCCCTGGAAAGCTTGATGGTCAAGTGGTCTCACAGCTGGGGACAGAGGTAGTTACCTTCCGCTGACCCCTAGGTGCACTCTCTCTCCAGGTGGACACGTCTGCCTCTCCCAGCACAGAGCAGAGAGAGGAAGAGGAAGGGTCATTCCTCTGGCTCCTTCCCTGCAGGGTCACTGCAAATGGGTGGCCTCCCTCCACTGAAGGCCACAGCCCTGACCCGGCCCGCTCCACATGGCGCCGCAGGCTGAGCGTGGTCACAGCCCCACTGCTGCCAGCCCTGGGCTCAGCACCGTCCCCCGTGGTTTCCCTGCCCCTGCCCACACTGTGCAAACAGACCCCTCACTAACTCCCCTGGTCCCAGTGCAGCGTGCCATCTGCTTCCTGCTGGGGCTCTGGCTGGCTCCCGGGCTTCCAGGTGCCGCCTCCCCACACGCCAAAGAGACATGTGGCCGGTGGCCAGGCCCTACGCCCGGACCCCACAGTGGGCAGGTGCAGGAGC